CAATTTCTGTTTTGAGATTCCAAAACATCAGAGGGGAAACCATTCGTCTGCATGCAATTGTAAACTTCGAGCAAGAAATGTCTCAATTCATTGAGATATACTAGTGAAATCAATCAGTTATGTGACTGTTCATTTGGCAATATTTCTGTTTAAATGGAATTTGTATCAATTTCGTTGAGATATTGAAATGTATGAGTTGTTCCGAATACTCAGTTGTGAGGGAGCATCTTAGCATCTTAGTAATGATCACGAAAGGTTTCTTTCGTGTTGAGATGAGATTCCCTCCGGGCTTTCTTGGGAAGCACAATGAGAATAAGCCAAAAATGGCCTTGTAGATCGGCGAGAGAGGTGTCACACTATCGGGTGGTCAAAAAGCGCGTGTCGCCCTTGCACGAGCCCTGTTCGCTAATCGACAGATTTATTTGCTGGATAACGCTTTGACGGCACTCGACAAAAAAGTCGCCGATCGTATCTTTGAAAAGGCCGTTCAGGAGATGTTGGGCAATAAAACAGTCGTTTTTGTGACAACTGATGTTCAGGTGAGCAGAAACTCTCTTAAAGATTTATATCGACAGGGGTGTTCGCTTAGACATTAAGGAGTTTCTTCATCATCAGACGAGCACCGCAAGAAAGTATCATTTTATGTTTATAACAGATTCACTGAATAGGTTAAGTTGAATCCAATTTTACAGTCTTATCAGTATCCACGTACAAATTATACTATACTATTTTATTCGGATCTTCAATCGTCTGGAAAATTTTCAGCGTTTAGCGCACTGCGATCGTGTGGTCTATATGGAATCTGGTCGTGTCGTCGGAGTTGCACCACATGAGGAACTTCTTGAAAGTTGTGAAGCATACGCGTTGTTCTGTGAAAATACCACGCTTAGTAGTGGTTTGTACTGAATCACTTCATCTGCTCCCTTCTGATTCAGCCACGAGAGATTTTATGAAGATGAAATTCAGTTTATTGATATGCATGTTCATCTATCAATAAACTTGTCCGCATTGATCAGCTATCAAAAGAGACTGCTGAGAGCTTCAATCCTAAAATATCAATATTTTGTTCCTTCATTCATATCATCCTCTAAACCAGTGGTTCTCATAGGGGTGGAATTACCCATTTTGCGTAATTTGGAGGTGTCAAGGGGTAATGGAGAGGGTCGGGTTGATGGCAACACTCTTCATTCGCCTATTTTCTGAATATC